AAGGAAGTAATAGTACGACTACTACGTACGTCCTACTACTAACAACTTACGTTACGTACTAGTACGTACGAAAGAAGTAACGTAAACTAACTACTCTCTCTCTCTCTCTCTCTCTCTATCTATCTATCTATCTATCTATCTATCTATCTATATATATATATATATATATATTATTGGGATCGATTGGTGAAAAATCAGTAAGAGTTTATAACATTCACAGTTATTGTGCATTCATGTCAATATAAACAAGCAATGAAAACTATATAATATCAAAACAAGAACATGGAATGAAAAATATAGCAACATTCAATCCACAGAGCACAAAGATTTAACGTGGTTCGGTCACAAATCATGACCTACATCCACGGGAGAATGACGCGAGACTTTACTTACTAATTTGGGAAGATTACAATGTGAAATCGAGTATAAAATATCAATTTCCAGCATCCCTATCTCACTCTAAACTGAGCTAAAAAAACAAGGCTCCAAAACAGGGCACACAACAAACCCACAATGGAGTTCAAGCCTTGTGCTCACTGTCTCTATCTAAACCAGAGCATACCAAGCTCTCAAGAGAAAAACCAATTGCAGCTCAATCTCTTTATCTTTTTCTCACTCTTTCTCTCTCTAAACAAATGGATTAAAAGAGTAAAGTTCCTACAACACCACAACCATTAAATTAGATGCAATCCAATGGCCCAAAATAAAAGACAGCAAAGTTAAATAAAACTCCTACATGTGTGATTTGTTTACACACATGTAACAATCTCTGGCTTGAAGACAAATAACAAAGTATCTAAAATAATCACCAATGTGCCACTCTCCATCCAGTCGAAGTTACGTCTCCTCCAACCCCGAAAGTTTTCTACACATCATATTCTATTTAGTTGAGACAACCTTTGTCAATATATCGGCAATGTTCTTCTCAGTGTGAATCTTGTCTACTTGCAAATCTCTACGCTCAAGGGCCAACCGAATAAAATGATATCTAACCTCTGTATGTTTTGTCTTGGAGTGATAAGCTGCATTCTTAACCAGATGAATCGCACTCTGGTTATCACAATGCACAACATATTTATCCTGTTTTATCCCAAACTGACCAAGTAACCTTCTCAACCAAATCACTTCCTTCGCTGCCTCAATCAATGCCACATACTCAGCTTCAGTTGATGGCAAGACAACAATATCCTGCAACCTTGACATCCAGCTGACTGCACCACCACCAACATTGAAAATGTATCCAGTGGTAGATCTTCTAGTATCACGGCTTCCTGCATAATCTGCATCTACATAACCAACAACTTGTAATGATGAATTTCCAAAATACAAGCATACATTTCGTGTCCCCTTCAAATACCGAATAATCTACTTAACTGCTTGCCAATGTTCCCAACCTGGATTAGATATAAATTTGGAAACAACTCCCACGGCATGGGCATTGTCAGGTCTAGTACAAACCATTGCATACATCAAACTACCCACTACGAAAGTATATGAAACATTCTTCATCTTACTTATATCTACCTCATTTATTGGAGAGTCCTTTTTAGACAACTTGAAATGTGCAACTAATGGGGTAAAAACAGGTTTACAGTCAATCATATTAAAGCACTCAAGAACTTTAGAAATATATTCAGATTGACTTAACCAAAGCTTACCTTGCTTTCTATCTCTATAGATGTGCATGCCCAAAATCTTCTTGGATGGTCGAAGATCCTTGGTGGTAAAATGCTTGGACATATCAAGCTTTAAACACTTGATTCACTCAGATCATTGCTAGCAACAAGCATATCATCAACATAAATAAACAAAACAGTAAAAGAATCATATGCTGAACCCTTGAAGTATATACAATGATCAAAATCGCATATAAAATAACATTCACCCAGCATAAAATTGTCAAATTTCTTATAACATCGCTTAGATTCTTGTTTTAAACCATACAATCCCTTTTCAACTTGCAAACCAAGTTAGGAAGGGTTTTGTTATCAAAACCTTCAAGTTGACACATAAATTTCTACATCAAGATTACTATGCAAGAAGACACTTCTAATATCAAGTTGCTCTAGCTCTAAATTCAAGTTAGTAACCAAAGATAAAACAACTCTAATAGAGCTATGCTTAACGACAGGAGCAAAAATTTTATTAAAATCAACACTTGGTTTTTTCCCATAACTTTTACCATTAGTCTGGCCTTATATCGCATAAGACCATTTGCCTCCCACTTAATAGCATATACACGCCTATTCTTCAATGCTTTCTTCTCATGTGGAAGTTCCATCAACTCCCATGCATCATTCTTATGCAAAGCATCAATCTCCTCTTCCATTGCCTTATGCCACATGTCAACATTAGGGCAATAAACAGCCTTCTAAAAAGACTCAGGTTCACCACTATCGGTATACAAAGTATAAGGAAGGAAAATACCTTTGTATGGGCTTGTGAGGGCGTGTGGATCTTCTCAATTCTAGCTCAGGTGTAACTGGCAGCTATTCTTCATCTTGAATTAATTCAGTATCATTCTCATAATTAGCATCACCTACATCAAAATTGTCTTGAGCTTGAACTTGACTCTCTTGCACTTGCCGTGGTAAAACAATGAGATTTGGTTCTTGTATATCCACAATAAGCCTTTCTTGTTTTGACTCTTTTTGCTTCTTTTCAGCAAACATTGCATTTTTATTAAAGAGAATGTCTCAACTTCTAATAGTCTTCTTTGCAATAGGATCCCAAATCCTATAACCTCTATCATCACCACCATACCCAAGAAAAACACATCTTCTTGACTTGGCATCCAGCCTGGCTCTACTTTCACTAGGCACTTGAACATAATCTTCACACCTAAATGTTCTCAAGTGTTCATATGACACACTTTTACCTTTCTAGAGAATTTCAGGTATGTCACTATTCAAGGGTGCACTAGGAGATCTATTGATCAAATATACCTATGTACTAACAGCTTTAGCCCAAAATTGCTTACCAAGACCAGATTGTGATAACATGTTTCTTACTCTTTCAATGATGGTCATATTCATCCTCTCAATGACACTATTTTATTGTAGTGTCCCAGGAACTGTCCTTACTCTGCGAATGTCATTCTCTTTACAAAAATCATTAAAAGCATTCGAGCAATATTCACCATCATTATCAGTTTGCAAGCATTTTATAAATCTCTTTGTTTCTTTTTCAACCTTGGCTTTGAAAACCTTGAAAAGTTCAAAAACTTGATCCTTAGATGCCAATGGATACCACCAACACTTTCTAGAACAATCATCTAAAAAAGTGACAAAATAAGAATCTCCACCAAAAGATTTAACATTAACATGGCCACAAACATCAGAATAAATCAATTCTAATGCTTTATTTTTTCTATGAGTTTCATTTATTTTAAAACTAACTATACGCTGCTTATTCATGGCACAATGAACACAAAAATCAAGAAAGGAATGCTCAGAAATACGAATAAGATTTTGAATTTACAATACCTTCATACCATGCTCACTGAGATGACCCAAACTGGCTATGCCAAATTTGTGTATCCTCATGCTTACTAGCTGCAGCAAAGATCTTCTCTGTAGCATCATTCCTTTGAGTTGTGCCATGAAGAGTGTAGAGACTCTCATCTTTTTTCTGTTTTAACATTGTCATACAACCTCTTGAATTCTTTCATGACCCATTTTCAAAAGTCACTATGAAACCAGAGTCATTTAACTGCCCGGTTGAAATGAGATTTTCTTCAACTCAGGAACGTGCCTCACATTTTTCAATGTGTACTTCTTTCCATCTGATTGTTTGATAACAACATTTCCAATGCCCAATATTTTGCAAGCCCGATCATCATCAAGATAAACCAAGCCACCATCCACATCTGTGTAGGATGAAAAATATGACATTTTTGGGCAAACATGAAATGAAGCACCAAAGTCTAAAATCCAAATATCTGCAATAGACAATGTTGTGTATGCAATACTAAAAGTGACTCCATCTTTACCATATGAAAATGTAATTGCTTCGGCATGGCTATCCTTGTCCATGTCCTTGGCATAACAATCTTTTCTTGTGTGACCATGTTTCTTGCAATACCAGCAATAACATCCTTGCTTTATGACTTGGACCTGCCTTTGCTATGAGATTTGCCTCTATTAAATCCATAGGGTTGGTCTCTCTATTGTGTTCTTCCTCTATTTCCTGCTGCCAATGCTTGATTTGATTCGACAAGCATTTGTGTGGATGTCTTTCTAATCTCTTCATTTAACAATGAAGCTAGAACATCTTTTAAATTAAACTTGTTACCCATTGTATTAGTCACAGTGGTAATCAAGGTATCCCAAGTAGTAGGCAAAGAACTCAGCAAAAGCAAACATAACACTTCTTCATCCAAATTCACTTTCAAATACCTCAATTGTGTCGAAATTGAATTAAATGCAATCACATACGACCTAATTATAACACTTTCTTTCATTTTCAAAAGAAATAATTTTATCATCGCATGCATTTTATTTGCACTAGAGGGTTGCTTAAAAGATTGCTCTAAAGATTGCCAAAGATCTGTAGATGTTTTACATTGACAAACATCAAATAAAATTGATGGTGAAATACATGGTCTAATCGCTACTAAACATTTTTTTTATCAAGAACATCCAATTCCCAATCTTCCATTCCAACAAGCATGGCCTGCTTACCTCGAAGTGGCCGATCCAATTCTGTTCCAACAAGATAATCTTCTATCATCATTTTCCATATTAGCCAATTACTTTGATTTAATCTTTCAAATTCCATTGCTTTTTTTATTTTCAAGGAAAATACAAGAAATAACTACAATAGCAAAAAAAACCCTTTCGTCACAAACATTATGAAGAACAAACCCTAAGCACTGATACCAGCTGTTGGGATCGATTACTGAAAAATCAGCAAGGCTTTATAACATTCACAGCTATTATGCATTCATATCAATATAAACAAGCAATGAAAACTACATAATATCAAAGCAAGATCATAAAATGAAAAATACAACAACATTCAGTCCACAGAGCACAAAGGTTTAATTCGGTCACAAATTGTGACCCACATCCATGGGAGAATGGCGCGAGACTTTACTTACTGATTTGAGAAGATTACAATGTGAAATCGAGTTCAAAATATCAATTTCCAGCAGCTCTTTCTCACTCTAAACTGCGCCCCAAAAACAAGGCTCCAAGAATACCCAAAAATGGGTTCTCCTTAACACTTTCTTTTACTAAAGCAGGGTACACAACAAACCCACAATGGAGTTCAAGCCTTTTGCTCACTTTCTCTCTCTAAAAAAGAACATACCAAGCTCTCAAGAGAAAACCGAATTGCAGCCCAATCTCTCTATCTTTTTCTCACTCTTTCTCTCTCTAAACAAAAAGGTTTTAATCCCTTTAAACGAATAAAGTTTCCACAACACCACAACCATTAGATTAGATGCAATCCAATTACCCAAAATAAAAGAGAGAAAAGTTAAATAAAACTCACACACATACACACACACACACATATATATAGAGAGAGATGCATAATTTTTTTTCCTTTTTCAGTTATTTAAGATAAGAAAAAAGTTTGTATAAAGTTGTAACCTTACTTGTAGAACTAAGTTTGTAGTATTCTGTACTATCTATTTTATTTGGATAGTTTAGATTTGATACTATCTTAAAAAATATGTTACTTTTTAATCATCTTTAAAGACATGTCAAATATATACCATTAAATTAAATGGATGGTGTAGAATACCACGACTTTACTTCTGAAAGTGAGATTACAATCGTATATAAACCACACACTTCAGATTATAAATGAAGTTTTCAAAAAACAAAAATATGTTTTCATAAGCCCTGGCTAAACAATATGGCCAAAAGATTATATGATCCACTGGACCACATTAGTCATTCACTCCCTTGGGTAAAATCATAGTTTTGGAGTATTTTTCATTCATTCCCTTGGGTAAAATCATATTTTTGGAGTATTTTTGGGGCTTCAAATTTTGTGGATGTAACCTTAACCTCCTCACCAAACCAACCAAACCCCAATAAAAGAAAAAAAAGAAAAAAGAACACAATTCTATACCCACTATATAGGTGCTTGAAAAAATAACATCCTGAGTTTGAACGAAGGTCGAGTATTTTTTAGCAGATCTAAGTATTCATAAACTTAAAATTCAACTTGTTCTTTGAAAGACTACTTACGTGGTGATTCTCAAAATGTATCAAACTCTTTATGTAAATTTTTCTTTCATAAGACACTCTTTTACTGTGGGAAGTAAGTGTACAGTGTGCTCTCACAAGAGTAAACCATGCCACTCAAAAATATGAAGAGAAACATAGAAGAAAGGGTAGAGATGGAATATTCATCCCTAGCCAACAGAGAAGTACATTTTTTGAGAACAAACAATTGCAACACTACATCGTGAAACTATCGAAAAACATAAGGGAAAATATAAAGGAAAAACCAATAACAATAAAAAAAAAAAAAATTAGAGAAAAAATAAACAATAAGAGAGACCTGGAAATTATCACCAGAATGTACTGTTCGAGCCACCTAGGTGAGTCAACGTAACAAGTCATGGTCGCCATCATTGCATTAAGTAAAATGTTAACAAAGGTCTTTAGAAAAGGAGCATCCATCGTCCATCCTCCTCCACGGACGATAAAGATGAAGCCTTCGGCGCAATTAGAAGCTGTCACGGTCCGTTACAAAAACCAACGCTTCATATCCACTGTACATGGAGATTACCGACAGCGGATGTCCCTTCATGAATATTAGACTATGAGCTATGTTAACTTGCTTTCCGTCGAAATGAAGGCTAGCAGACCCATAGGGGTGGCAACGGTCGGGTTGGGTCCGGTCCGAACGAGGGCCCAAAAAAATTATAGAACCTCGACCCGACCAAAAAATTAAAAAATATATATTTTTGTAATTAAGTATTATGTTATAACTAAAATATATAACTATATTTATTTAAATATTATATATTTATTTGAATATTAATTAAATATTATTAAATCTACATCCATGTATATATTTATTTGAATATTAATTAAATATTATTGAAATATTATATATTAAATATTATTTAAATAATACATTATTCGGGTCGGGTCCACATGGACCCGTACCCAGACCTGAGTAGTTTTCAGGTCCAATATTTGGATATGAACCTGTCCCGTCGGGTTCAATTTTTGAACCCATACCCAGACCTGAAACGAGTCGGGTCCGAGTTCATTGCCACTCCTAGCTAGCACCATATTTTGAGACAGCACCTGAACACTCTCTCTCTTGGGGGCACCAATGGCGTCGAAGTGGAATTCGGACCGAAGACTTTGATGTTCGTGAGCAACATGTCACCAAAGAGACAAGGGGCTCTAACAACATTAATGTGGGATTTGAACCCAAGACCTTCACATATTGTATATCTATGTGTGTGTCTATAACATCATCATCATTAGATCTTTATCCAAACTATTTGGAGTAATTTATACTAACACTGTTATGTTATTGTACTCTATCAAGGGCCAACTTCAATCAGACCACAAGTCCTTAACACCTATATTCTAAATTTACAAATGTATACATGTGTGTTGGAGAGAGTCTATAACATGCACGTATGTTTGTTTTTGTGTTAGAGAGAGAGAAGGGGTGAGAGAAGTCTTTCGAGCATCAGATACCAAAGAAATAAAGTAGCAAGTGCAAAATTGAAAAGACAAAAGAAACGCAGGAGAGAATTCCAAGTAAGAGAAGAGAGAGCTGAAACCTGACAAAGCGTTTAACAGATTGAAACAAGCCTTGGCGAAGGTTATGCCGCCTTTGCCATCAAACTCAGACTGCTGTGACTCATAATCACTTCTCTCCACATTCATCTTAAATCTCTCTGGTTCTTAAGTACAGGTGCTAGTTCAAAGAAATATTAGAGGAGTATTGAGAGCTAAAGCTTTTAACTCTCTCTCTCTCTCTCTCTCTCTGTGAGGTAGTTGAATACAGGGAGCTCCACGTTCTAAGAATTAAGTTGCAGATTCTAAAGGTCAAGGAGTCTGCTGAAAGCTACAAGTTCCAACTCTCTCTCTCTAGTCACTCAATTGACTACAGGCTCCCCCTCTCTCTCTAAAACTCTTTCTATCTACTCAATTGACCTACTCTCTCTCTTTCTCTCTCACACGGTGTTCATGTGCTCGCTTTAATTAGTTGAAAGTTTGAAACTTTCATTTTTTTCTTAAACAGCAACCTCACTGCCCTCTGCACTACAAAAATTAAGATCCCAACATAATGTTGCAAAACAATTTAAGAAAAATATGACTTTTTCTTCTTTGATGGTTTCCCATTGCCATATTGAATGCTAACTTTTGTCGTCATTATATAATTGAAAATTTCTTATTTATTTTTTAGTTTGAGGAGATTGCATATAAATCGTTTTTTTTTTGGAAATTTTTTAAAAAATAGTCTCCTGTAGTTTACATTTGATATGGAGTCCCACTTTTTAAAAATATATAATATATTTTACTTTTAATTTTTTTAATATAATGGATTAAGCTCGAATTTGGTATGTTTCTCAACATTAAATACTCATAAAAACTTTAAAAAAAATAATTTAAGGTAAATAAAATTTACCAAAATACAACTAAATGATGCAGGTGTATTTTGATCCATTATTATTATTTAATTATATTTTAAATAATTTGTATAGGTATTAATCCTTTCATGAAAAGATTGATGTAATCCCCTTTTGATTAAAAATTGTATGGAGGTGATCATATTTTAAGGAGAAAATATGAATGATGTGAATTGAAATCCATGCAGAACCCACAGAAGAAAGTACATGTGAACCCAACTAACCACCTTTAGAAGAATATTTTATTTTGTGAAAGGCCTTAACAAATTGCAAATGCCTATTTAGGGATATGGTGAAAATTCAATATTTTTTTGTGAATGCATGCCACTAGCCAAATGTATCGAAGCATAAACAATGGCATTGTGCACTTCACTTTTAGGGATATCTCATTTTTTCTTTCGGGATTGTCTATAAAGAGATTATTTAACTTTTATATAAAGTGGTCACAATCATTCTCACACATTTGATATCAAATTAGATGGCTTGAGATAAGTCACGAAGTTTGAAAAAAAAAATTGAACTTTGTATCTATTCAATGACACTTTTACGACTATCTATCTTGAAATTTAAGAGATAAGAATGATTGTTGTATCTATGTACAAAAGATAAATGGTTTCTTTGTAGACGATCCCTTTTCTTTTACTATTTCATTGTCCTACATAGAAAGGGAAATATAACTGTGGGGCACAAGATCAATGTTATTTCAAGAGCGAAGCATAGATTCTAGTGATCAAATGATCAACAAAACAATCAAATCATATTAAAAAATAATTTAGGTGGTTAAGATAATTATATTCCTTTCACTTAGGTATCTATTCAATTATTTTGTCAAAAAATGCCCGAACTGCTATGCTATGGTTTTGGAAACTAAACAAGACATTTTAGTACTAAGTGGGCATAATTGTTCTTGGTTTGAAACCTGGAACAAAAAAGATTTTTATCCTTATCCAGCCTAAGTTCTAGACAAATATAATACGATTTCGATCAAATCTTGCTCTGGGTTTTGAAGCACGAGTAGATTTGTTTTGGCTGGGGCAGCATAAGTGAGCCTAACGCAGGCCAAATAACCAAAATGCCCTATATGTTTTTGAATTCGAAACCTAAAACAAGGCTATAATAAAAGAAAAATGTTTTTGAGTTTGGAATTAGGAATAAGCAAGGCTGCTTAGGTGATTTGACGCGTGTAATTTAAGGGGTAATTTATTAAAATGCAAGCGCTCGTTCAAAGTTCGCATAAGGACTGCTGTGCGCAGAAGCTATAAACCAGATGGGTTAATTTTTGACAAATAAAATACGGAAAATAAAACATGAAACATACACCTCAAGAACTCAAATATTTACGTGGTTTATCCCAGAGAGGCTACATCCATGACAAACTGAAATCCACTATACCAATGAAATATACATCAAAGATTTTGAAACAAACGTCGACAAAACCGAGTCGAGGAATCACTTTATACCACTCTCCCTTCCTTTTCTTTACCTTTGGCAACCATTATTCTTCATTCATTTTCATTACTTTTGTCAACCATTATTCTGTATTCATTCTCTTTACTTTTAGCAACCATTATTCTTCATTCATTCTCTTTACTTTTGACAACCATTACCGACAACATTAGATAGAGACATTATTCTCCTTACTTTTGGCAATTATTATTGACAATACCAGATAGAGACGCAAGAGTAGTGAAAAACTTACTTTCTCTCTAACTAAAAAGGGAAATCACCCAAAATCTCCATGGGGAATGCTTCTCTACAAGAAACTACCATCTCATTCTGCAAGAGGCACCATCACAATGTTTCTCTCCATAGGAAATTCTTTTCTTTCTAAGAGGAGATCTTACATCTTATATACAAGAGGCTCTGCCCCTTCTCTCTCTAGAGGAACAACCATTCCCATCTCTAAGAGGAAACCTTGCATCTTATACACAGGAGGCTTTGCCCCCCTCTCTCTAGAGGAACCGCCATTCCCATATAGTGACCCAAATAGGGTACACAAATTCTATGTACTTTGATCCTATATATATAAGATTAGGAATCCACACAAAATATGAAACTTTCTATTGATGTTACATATATCTCAAAACCTAAAGATACATCCAAGAGTTGTAATCCTTTTGGATTCCTATTCCCTTTAAAAAATTTATCAATATCAATATCAATCTCACAAAATATAAGATTTTTTTATGTTGGTGATTTTGGATAGCACAAAATCCAATAATCTCCACCTTGATATAAAAATCACCTGCTCACCATGCCAACATCTACTGTATAGTTTTATGGATTCTTCATCTTTTGCCAAATAAATTTATTCATCATTATTGCTAAAAAATAGTATTTACAATCAAATTTCTCTACCTCGAACCTTGCATTTGAAACCTTATTGTCATACTGACAACTTCAAATCAGGTTCTGATACCACTTGTTGTGCGTGGAAGCTCTAAACCAGATGTGTTGATTTTTGACAAATAAAGTACGAGAAATAAAGCATGAAACAAACACCATAATAACACAATGATTTATGTGGTTCACCCAGAGGGGCTACATCCACATGCACAACAAACTGGAATCCATTATACTAAAAAGTTACATCAAAGATTTTAGAATAAACCTCGACAAAATCGGCTCGAGCGAACCCTTTTAAACCACTCTCCATTACTTCTCTTTACTTCTGGCAACCATTACCAACAACACCAGATAGAGATGTGAGACCAACGAAAAACTTACTTTTTCTCTAATTAAAAGGAAAAACCACTCAAAATCTCCATAAGAACCGTTTCTCTATAAGAAACCACCATCTCACTCTACAAGAGGCATCATCACAATGTTTCTCTCCATAGTAAACTCTATTCTCTCTAAGAGGAAACCTTGCATCTTATGCACAGGAAGCTCTGCTACCCTCTCTCTCTAGAGGAACTATTATTCCTATATGGCGATCCAAATAGGGTACACAAATTCTTTGTACTTTCATCCCATATATAGAATCCACCTAAAATAAGAAACTTCCTAATGATGTGACATATGTATCAAAACACACAAATTCTATGTACTTTTATCTCATATATATAAAGTTAAAAATCCATATAAAATAGGTAACTTTCTATTAATGTTACATATGAGTTCTAATCCTTTTGTATTCATATTCTCTTTAGGAAACTTTTCAATATCAATATCAATCGCACAAATATGGGGTTTGCTTATATTGGTGATTTTGGAAAGTACCAAATCCAATAAGGGCAATGTTGATAATTTTAAAAAAATATCCATGAGGAGTTATAAGAATGAAAATTTTAAAAAGTAGCCACTATGTTGGTA